ATTGAACCGAAAATAATATCAACACTTTCTACCTTAAACCTTCAGTGACATCGATCCTTTGCCGTCAGGCACCAAATCATTCCACAAATGTACCAGTGTGATGAAACCCGGCAGCCTTTAGTGTTTAGCTAGGCCTTGTTTGTTTCCTTGATGCGGGTTTTATCGGTGCACTGAAAGATATTAATACCTTCAACAACATATAGGCCTAGCAGTTGATCCTTGGTGTGCCAGGACCAAATCAGTCCACAAATAAATGTATTGGTGTCTAATGAAACCATCCTTCAATATTTAGCTTTCTTCAGTTGTTTCCTTGTTGGGGCGGTTTTATCGGAGCAAGGATATCAGCTTATATAAGCCTAGCATGCAGTTGCATGTCTTCTGCTTGGCAAAACGAGAGAATTGTGTGAGTGCGTGCAGATTCTGCAGATTAATACCGGACTGTGCTGATATTATTATGAGGCTGCTGTTGTCTTCTTTCGCTGCAGGTCCCTTGGGTTAATTTTAGCTTTGTACAAAGTTAAAAAGCTGTACACGTCGGTGGGGTGCAAATCTATAAACTTGATTTTGTTAACAACGAGAAGAATGAGAGGATTAATGACACCATCGCCCTTCTTTAAATCCCTTCCATGAGTCGCCACACACAACGAACTTAATTAGTGCATTTATCTTGTCTCAGGTTTAATTCATTCCAAGTGACCGAAAAAGTGTCTTGTAGTTTGGATGATAACAATTTGATTGCAAGACTGCCGAGGATAAGAACGGAAAGACTGCAAATTGAGGAAACATAGATGAGTACTGATCTCATGTAAAGAAAGTAAGCCTTTTTTTCCAACTTTGTACAGGCTCAGAAGGACAAAAAACAAAAGTAAATCTTCTAGTAAATTAAAGGCACCTTCGAGACAGTGAGCTTTTATCAGAGACCAAGCGTAAAGGGAACAAAGTTACTCGTACATATTGACTAGCAGTAACCCAGCTATTAACTCGTCGGGAACTAAGTTCTGAAGATCGAATTAACCTAAATGCTTTTCATGATTGATAAAACCAGACGAAAGTTCAGTTGAAACCCTACAATGAACTGAATTTTTGATCGTTTTCACTCTTATTCAATTTTTTAGGGCAGATGTTTTTTCCAAGTGAAAAAGGCGAACCTAGAAACTCTGATTGATGATCTATTTTGTAAGTGAATTTATCAAATCTCAACTAAATATATAGGGTACCACTCATGACAAAAAGGTGTTGGGCTGTGAGTGTAGTAGAAGTTGCCGTTTAAAATACACATTCAATTAAAGCTCATTGTCAAATTCAAGCTTAAAAGGCCTAAAATAGATATTTTTTTTCATGTATGAATACACAGATACAATGTTATATATACCCTTTAATTAACTGACGGATAACTGTGAATTGCATAAATCTCCCATGCAAACGATCGCGATCTGGCCAGCAGATTTTCATCTCAAGGCCTAAGAGATGAATAACAGCTTTTCGAGGACACACATGAATGTTTTTAGTTGAACAGTAACGAAAACTGAAATTCCTGTTCTTGGTCTCTCTCACTGGATCAATTCATTTCATTCAGGGTGCACCTTAACTCAAAATGCTAAAGCATTTAGTTAATGAGTATACTACTAAATACCAATCGTTCACATCAGTTCTGTTCACAGAAATTCAATAAAGACCAATGAAATTTCATTTGCACTGCCAACAACAAACAAATTCAATAATTTCCACACTCACCCTAGCTTATAGCAAGCGAGAATAATCATGGGGCATATGGATTAGCTCTCTCTGATTATTCTTTCTTGCTTATAGTTTTTTTATGATACATATAGTTATAGATTTCGAGAAGGTTTTGGACAAGTAGCTTCTAATAAAGAGTAACCATGTTACAAAACTCGATTTCATCAGATTAAAACTCAAGGACTCATTTCACCCCCATGACATGACTGTGCAGTAAAATAAATCTAGTAGCCACCTTGTACCCCTAAAAAATGAAATGCAACCTTGCTCTCCAGGTTAAGACACTTGAAATAGAGACTGGGGTTTAAAACAACTGCTGAGATTGTATGTACTCCAGAAGATGCTGCGCCTACTAAGTGTCGTTCTCGCTTGTAAGTTTTTGCTGGCAAAGAAAACTTCATTTTCCAGTTCAGTAAGAATAAAGGAAACTTGAAGAAAACTTGCTAGTGCCACTAATTTAGGGTGCAGGCAATCAATGTTCAACTCTGTATTTGCTACACAATGCATGTGCTATTCAAGTGGTATTTATATTGCCTGAGTATTTGAGACGGAATCCACCAGGAAATTGAGTAATTTTAATTTTCATTGGACAAAACCCTTTTACTAGAATAATTTAAAGAATATTGCATTCTTTTTTACATGTAATTTGTCATCTGTAATAACAGCAAAGAAACTTTCTCATGGGAGTCCGAGAAAATGAATGTCAAATTTCACAAGAATTGTGAAAACATAGGTAAAATTCTAAGAATTTCACGTGTAAGATGTCATTTTGTGAAATTTGACGTTTATTTTCTCTGGCTCTTATGAGAAATTTAGTTTGGTGTTATTACAGATGACTAATTAGATCTTTAGCCCTTGAAAAATGTGAAAAAGTATTCAATATGCTTTAAATTATTCTGGTACAAGGTTTTCGTCCATTGAAAATTAAAATTACTCAATTTCCTGATGGATTCCATCTTAATTCTGTCCCTATATTCTAATGTCCTGTGTGGCTGCTGACTCTTCCATACCAGGAATCTGAAATCATTCAGATGTCCTGTGTAGCTGCTGGCTGACTCTTCCATACCAGGGATCTGAAATCATTCAAGTACACTACCCCTCTTTTAGTAGTACTCGCTTCGGATGGTGTCATTTGTTTTTGTTTTGGTTTTTTTAGCATTTTAGACAATATTTGAGATTTCTTCGAAAAATTTTGTTTTTGATAATCTTTGAAGCAGAGTTAATAAGGTTTCTCATTCAATTAGTTACTGAATTGCCAAACTTGACATGTCAAACTTTCACACAGTCATAGTAAGAATCCTTACCCACGATTAATAATATCGTCTTTTGTTTCTTATTAATCACTCATGATACCGAATCTCCATATCATAAATTGACGACTGTGTTCTTTTTGTAAGTTTCTTTGGCTGCCATAGAAAAATCAAATTGTGTCAGATTTTTTACAGCGTATTAAAACACACGTTTGAGGGTTGATCGGTGAAATGAGCTTGCATCATTCATCGTGTACTGTGCTTTTTAGCAAATTTTTTGGATACTTTTCTTTACACAAATCAGACGTCAAACGCTTAATGGAGTGATAACTTTTTTATTGTACGAAAGCACTTTATATGCATCTCAGCTTAACCCGAATCTTAAATAGCACACCCATCTATGTGCAATTAGAAAACTGGAGATTTATTTACTAACGATCGATGCACAAACATGAACTGAAAAAGACACGATCCTCTAGAGCAAAGCTACGCTTCTAAGATTGATTTAACATTGTTTTAAAATCTAAGGCCAGCATGTAAGGAAACTGCAACACACCAATTGAGTAAGCGCATTGAAAGGAATCTCGATCATATTTTCAAGAAAGGATTAAGCTCCAAAATGATTAAAAATGCAACGTGTTTTCTTCACAGTTGCTTGCTTTTTATCAGTCTAGGCCAAGGTGCAATCATTTCGTGCAAAATAAATATTTTTAATGTAAGGCATTTGTTTTGACAAAGATATTGGACCTAGATTAGTTGAGTGTCATTCGGCAGAACTTAAAATCGATCGTAAGACAAAAACTGAGCGATTTCGGGAACATGTTTGGTTCATCGATCAGGTTATAATAAAAAAAACTCGGTGCGAATTCCGGCCTTGTTAATCTTGTAAAAATAATAATAAAAAAAAATCACACAAACACATCCAAGAAAAATGCTCTGAAAGAAACAAACGAAAAAGAGCGCATGAATTGGAAAGAAAATTCCAGTCGCGTGCACGCGTGGCCGACACGACGCGACCGCGCGTGTTAATACTAAACACAAACCTTGATTATTGACTTTTCGTCGCTCTTGGGAACCAATGCTTATCGTCTTTTCTTTGTCAAGGTCGGACACCACCGTCACGCAATGAATTTCTTGTCTATAGTAGCGCTAGAAATTGCTCAATTGATACCAAATCATGTCTGCCTAAGCCTTAGCAATGCCTTCTGGCCGTCGGCAAATACAACATTGTGAAGGGAGCCGTCGTAATTCTGTATATTTAATCCAGTATCCAGCGTGCATAGCACTAAGACCACTAAAATAATTTCCGTGTGTTTTCTGTGGGAGATAAACTTCTGGTATTCCTGGAGGGCGGTCTTTCTGATTGAACGCAAAGCTCATAGCGAGGTGGCTCAGTTGGTCGTCGAAAAACTGGCCAAATTGAAAAACAAGAGCGCTGAAAGTAAATTTTTCAAATCCTTAAATTTGTTTTGAAACGTCCCTACCCGTTACTAGCTACACCCCAAGCGCTTCAGACAAGTTTGACACTAATCTGTTGTTTTCGCCGCCCAGGTCTTTGACACCCACAACAAACCTTGTGGCTACAACCCCCATTAGGAAATATCTCGCTTTTCACCTACAATATTACTATGGCCGCTCGGGAGCTCAGGGACCAGTGGGAAGAAGAGTAATTTTGGCAGACCCAGATGTTCTCATCGGTTTCAACCTCTCTTGTGATGGCTTGCTGTGCCCAAAATTGTTTGAATACAATTTTTATTGAAACAGCCGCAAAGATTGAAAGCGCGCTGTGGGGTGCTCTGACGTTGGGGGCAAAAATACTACGTGATGAATGAGACACCTAGAGAGGAGCCACAGAGCATGCGCGCACTTACTGTTGTAACGTACAAGCCGGACGCAAATGACAACATATCAAAACCGTGTCGCGCGGCTCAGGGACAGATGTGTTGGTTCCGTCTTTTGAAAAAAACGTCTGCGTTTTGAGAACAACTGGATTTTTTCGTTTCATTTCTCGAGATGGGAAGCGAGGAGTTAAGCTCTTTTCGCCCGTCCTTTGTAGTCAAAGCGGAGCCGCTTGATAACTCACAATCGTTTGATTACACCAGTCTATCTGACGCGGAGTCTACGGTCGTGTTTCGAAATTACTACGAGGTGCGCACCGATAGCGGGCACATTATAGAGAGAGCTAGCTCTGTGGAGTCGCTTCAAAGTAGAAGTGGAAGCGAAAACGATTTTACCACTCGAACGGACATCAGCGAACGTTCAAACTCGCGTGAAGAGATGAAGAGCGAATATTTTTCGTTCCCGGCTTATCGGGCCGATTGGAAAACAAGCGCGTCTGGCCAGGACGAGGAGGATTCGGAGGAGGGGGAAAATGAAGACGAGGGAATTGAAGAAAATCGGGAGAGCAGTGCGTCAGAAGACTTAGGAACATCGACACCTACTAGAGTCCCTCTTCAAGCCCACTCTGTGGGATCTACACCTCGCGATCAACAGAACTCACTGAGCGGGAGTCCCGTGAATCGAGGGAGTCAGGACATTGTTATTCCCGGAATACCCTCAAATACCCAGAACGGAATAAACATAGTTTTTCATAAGCATTGCAAGCTTAATATGGACACATCTGGGAAAATGTATGGCAGAGAAGGCTATTCAAGCGAGGGATACCTTACACGCGTGGAAAGATTCACGCCTGAATTGCCGCCGTCTTTCGTGTACTCCACGCGAAGCGAGCCTAAGATTACGAGCGGCATTTGCGGCTCGCGGGAAGCTGAAGACTCACACTTACCGGAATATGAAGAAAAAAGCCCACCGGCGCGTTCGACCGTGTTAATATGCCAGTGGATCCAGTTAGAGAAAATGATGAATCATGTTTGCGGGTTGGGGTTTTATAAAATCGAGGATCTTGTAACGCATATCACGGAAGTTCACCTTGTGTCTGCCACACCCGTTGGCTTCGTATGTTGTTGGAAAGAATGCATGAGAAATGGAATGCCATTTAAAGCAAAGTACAAACTCATCAACCACATTAGAGTCCATACGGGGGAGAAGCCTTTTACCTGCAATCAGCCTGGGTGTAGAAAGAGCTTTGCGCGTGCTGAGAACTTAAAAATACACGTTCGCACACACACAGGAGAGAGACCTTTCGCATGCGAGTTTAAAGGCTGTGACAAGAGATTCGCGAACTCCAGTGATCGCAGAAAGCACATTCACGTTCACACTCTGGAAAAGCCATACCGCTGTAAATATATTGGCTGCGATAAGAGCTATACACATCCGAGCTCCTTGAGAAAACATATGAAAGTCCATGGCCTACGGTCTGAAGAACATTTTAAAGTTGTTCAAAGCCTTGCCTACCCTCATAATAGGATCCCCGCGGATCGTAGATTTGATGGGGACTCTGTTGGCAGAATCGGACTTACTTTGGGCAGCTCTCCAGGAATTTTTCAACAGAGAACCGACATATAAATTTTCATCATGTCGAAGAAATCATTCTTTAAACGTCATCACTTAAAACTAAACTAAAAGGAACTGTGCTTTTCTGACTGAGAAAAGAAACGAATCATGACTTGGCAAAAGACATTTTTACTAAGACATTAAATTCATCAATTGCAAAGGAGGAAATTATTTCCTTGATGATAAAAATTCAAAACAATAGGAATGTATTTACCTTTGAAGCAGAATCTAAACGCTTACGATCGTTCGTTTTGAAGAGTTTATAAGGGTGTTCGTCCCACAAATTATGAAATGTTCAAGAGATCGTCATAGTTTTTACCTTGAAATGACAGTGTTCTCTTTTAGATATTCTTTGAGGTTGTTGCTGTAGACCAAACTGCCTAAACTGGCCTGTGTTCATCGCTTCATTTTTTTTTGTTGGGTTTAAAATTGAACTTCAATTTTGTTGGCTAATGGTCACGCGACACGTGCTTAATTTCATACCCGTTAGAAAATTTACAAGGACGCCACCGTCATGCGTCTAACGCATTAATTGTTCCGTTCTTATTTCATTTATCCATGTATTTCAGCATAAAAGTTAAAGAGCCTTTGGCTGCAAGCGCTGTTATTTTACAAAAAAACTAAGGAAAAATTACGACAGAAGTCGTTATCAAGACCAAGTTCAGCCCAAAAACGATAAAAAAAAAAAAACGCCCATCACTTTCTACTTCATCCAAGTCAGAGTCTTGCCTCGCAGATAGTATTTAGTTTTTGATGTTAATCACGATCGCGTGTAGAAGTTTTCAGGACAGGAAGATTATTCGTTGCTTTGCTGAGACAAGAAAATATTCAACATATTGATATTCTGAAGTTTCCTCGCGGCTTAAATACTCGCTGAATTGATTTTGTGGCAGCGTTATCTCACGAGGACTTTTCAGTTTTCGCAATAAACTCGACAGGTCGATGCCGGTAATGTGCCTCGTCAAAAAAAGCTGGAAAGTTTTAAGCCTGTCTCGAGAAATGAAAGAGACATTTACTGAATTTCATCGGTCTTTAAGGGTTCAGTGCTATCATTTTCTCTTACATGCATTTTTAGTTTATGGAACGATCTAAACAATCAGATTTACTCTAGAAGTTCGCTTTTGCAGTTCAAGCTCGGTAGAGTGATTGATTCTTTTGTCATGACACAGGAGAGTCAAGAGGGGTGGAGGGAACAGATGTCACCATTATAAATATATATATTCTGAAGGAATTAACAACAATATCAAGTGTTACTGTAGCCTCGACTAGTATAGCTTGTGTTATCACAAACACTTGTTACTCGTTATCACTCATTTGATCAGCCTTGGCCATTTTAGAGCATAGGGTTTGTTGATAAATTTTGGCGTTTCTCGAAATAAAGAAGTTTTTATACACTGATTTTATTTCATGAGACTATAAGCTTTGATACAAAACTCTGCTTTGGCTTGAATGGTTTGTGGCAGGTTTAAATTTTATGAGAAAAGTGAATGAAAAATGAATGTCCGGTCTCCTAAAGACAGCAGCACGTCGCTAAATCCCAATTTCAAGTCAGATCTGTTGAAACAGAGTAGCGAACATTTATTTCGTAGTCAAACAGGGTTCGTTGGATCTGCTCGCGCGACGCAGCGGCGTGTCTCGCGAGATTAAGTCACGCACACACGCAAAACACTTCACCAATGGGGGTAAAATTTATGGGAATATAATACGATATCGCTTCCGGGCTTTGCCGCCCACCTTTAACTCGACGGGCAGCCATTATATTTGGCAAGGAACAGAGGTTTGGGGATAAATCTCTTGACGGAAGGACACAGCGAAAGCCTTTCAACCCAAAATTTGCCTCAATGCGGCAGCATAACCCCATGGAAGCGCTAAGGATGACTAAAAAATCTTGTCTCCCGCTCCGAGAGATATTGCGTTTTGTTTACAGCCTGTCTTGAGAATAAATTAGCGCCCCGGGAGGCAAACTGTCAACTGCTGCGCTTTCAGTCAACACTGTGTTATTAATTTGGTGGGAGGTGTTGCCCTTAAGCCAATCAGATTGTTGCATTTTGAGCCTTCGGAAGTGGTCTTTGCTATCTTCTTACGTATAAGAAAACAAACGCATTTTCCCGCTACTTGGGTCCGCTGTTAGACATATATCAAATGTGACACGTATAATTTTACGGCTCGGACAAGTGAAATTACTTGAAGAAATGAAAAACGTCCAAATATTGCAAATTTTCTAATTTCCTGACATTACCCGACCACCTGGGACGAAGCACGCACAGAATTCATTGTCCGTTCTCTTTTCACAAGTTCAGATTCTGTGGACAAGCTAAGGCTTTTGTAACCTACTGAGCACTTCTTTACTTTCTGCTCTCTTATAGCGAGAGATTCCCTTCATACACGTGTTGTTTTTCGATAAAGGTTCAATTCTACATCTCAGTTTTGCGCTGAACAACGAAGAAGAAAAACAAAGTTTTATTCAGACTTCCCAAAATTCCCAGCCATCCTGTTCATTCGGATTCTTTGCAATATTTTGACTGTGGCAGAAGAAACCATTTTCTTCGTACGCGCTTGTTAATTTTCCTTTAAATAAGTCTTGCAAAGCCTTGGAAATTATTCATTATTAAAAGCCTTCAGAAAATAAATATAACTCAATAAACTGGGCGTACCGCGGCGCAAACGAAGCGTAAACTAAAAGATATATTACTGAAGCTAGTTATCTTCCGTACTTCAAAATCTCAAGTGTTTTTTTCAGTTTATTGCCATAATAGTATAACATATTTGGAAAATAAAGATGTCGCGTGATACAAGTAGTTAGAAACCTCGATTGCCCCTCACTGGGGCAAAGTTATTGCTGACACCGAGTTATCGTTTTTTTTCTCTAAAGAGAATAACTTATCGCTAATTTGTGTCTATTATCTTTCGTGCAATACTTGTTTATATCCGTCAATGTGATGTATTTTTGATATAAATTTTCGGTAGTCAGTTGACCAATAAACCTTTTCTCTCAGTGTTGCTCGAGCATGAAAATGGTTGGCTCATTATATTACAACGTTTAATCAAGTAAGTTGTCAGTTTACGGCAAGATGTTTTATATTATAAATATACTGTGACACGAGTGTAACAGAGGCAGTATTACACATCACAGCCTAGAATTTGAAGCTCGTTTGGCAGTTTTCAATTACGCCCCCACTCTAAGTTGAGCGCCTGCTCTGAGCTGTGAATCCACGGGGGCGGAAACTCGGGAACTCTGTAATGTACATGTGTTACTACATAATTACCTCATCTACGAGGGAGGTTTTTTCTTTTTATGCATAGCTGAAATAAACCGGTTGCTGTTCAGCTTACAAGGTAGCTGATCGGTAGGAACCTCAGTTTGGGGCTACCCCTTTCGAGAGACTGTTAACAAGATAGGTTAAGGGTAGTTACAGAAATTAAAAAGAAAAGTGAATGCATATATCAGAAAAGTATTTCACGAACCCGTCCTTTACAACCCCCCTCCCTCCCCTCTCCCCCACTACCCCGAAAGTCATCCCAATCATCAGGCAATCAATCTAAGATAAGCTTCTTTTGCCTGCTGACATTTACAACGAGCAAAACCTTGTCAGGTATTTGAGTCGATAGAAATGCTCCAGCCGGAACCTTTCAAGGCAGAGTTACCCGCAGCTTACTTCAGTGGCTTGAGGTGGCCGTTGTGTCCGTTGTGTGAATGTAGGAGTAGAATGTGACTCCCTTAAATTATTTCTTAACTTTCACTGAACATGGTCCTGCTTTGTTGATCTGAATAGCGACTAGAATGAGGGCTTTTGTATATCCATCGTCCTTTCAAATCAAAAATTGAATTTTTATCTTTAAGCTCGTCTTTCACTTTGAACATGGTCCTGCGTTTTGTTGATCTGAATAGCGAGGGTAGGGGTTTTGCGCTACCACTGTATCGATTTTCTATTTTGATTTTGGGTTAGGGTATATCCATCGTCACTTTCAAACTTAAAAACTTAAAAGAAATAAACATTTTTTATCTTGGTCTGAAACCGGATGGTCAATTCAGGGTATTGATTTAAGGGAGCACGTCAAATTTTTTTCGGTTTGAGAGATAACATGTTTTGCTCTTGCCGTTATATGCTCCTGAAATACATTTCATTGAGTGGCGGTTGCGGTAGATATGGTTGTTACATTGGACGCCGTGAGATCGGGCCGATTGTACCCTCTTTCAGTAGTAAGAATCTTAGTGCTGAAAGGCACTTCAGATATCTTATAACAGACGTGGCAAGCACGGAAGTCTTTGTAGATGTACATCTCACAAAAGAAAGAAAGAAGGGTGGTTAAATGTTAAGGAATAATTGTACTTCCTGCTTTCACTCTGCAAACCGCGCCTCAAACTGATTCTCGTGGCCTTAAGGACCAGGTAGAGTCAGCATCTCCACGTCCAAGAGACGTAAAAACGCAGTCGATTGGTTAGTTACACGTGGACATCAATAAGCCAGGTTTGCATGCGTATGTGAAAGTCCCAAAGACCCCATCAGTGTCTGAGAGACGGTCCAAGTATTCTCTCTTGCCTCACTTAAATTTCAACGAGGAGGATGTGGAAGATGCTGTCTATGGCCGGATAAAATTTACACTGGTATCTGAAAGCGGGAGCCGCCTGCTGAAAGAAGTCATCACGTGGCACAATGTCCTCGCCGTCAGGCACGGTTTATAGTCTCGAGAGTTTATAGGCATACGGACAATTGTACTGGACAAATGCTCTCACAATCCGGTCCTTTAAAAGCCCTTATGCAGCGATCTAAATCTTAGTTGCTATCAATATTTGCGCGCCCATTCTAGACTACGAGAAGTATCTCTTTTTTCTGTAACGCGAGACACGCAAATAGCCACGCGCGTGACTGATGGCGCGAGACGGGAGAGAGAGACTGCTCGCAGTCTAGGCCCATTCATGTTCTTGGACCCGGGGAATTCAAACATCCCTCAGGCTACTTCAAACGCTGGTCCTGCGGGGTATTCAACCATTCTCTCTTACTTTCTTCAATAAGCGTCAGTTTCCTTCTTCACCATATTCCTCTTCAAAAGACTTTTTGTTATGTTGACAATAGGGCCATTTATACGAGGAAAAATAAGACGCGTCTTAAATAAGACGCGAACTTTCCTTATAAACGGCACATTTCGTCTAAAATAAGACTCGGCTTAGCTAAGACGCGTCTTATTAGGTAAGACATGCTCGTATAAATGGTACAGTTCGCGTCTTATTTAAGACGCGTCTTATGTAAGATGCGTCTTATTTTTCCTCGTATAAATGGTCCTAATAAGTATAGGTTTTTTCACAGTCTCACTAAAACCGGGATCCTTTGCCGGGCTTGCTTTCCTGCAAATCGGTAACTGCTCAGGTGTGATCGCTTAAGTTTAGTCAGCAGTCAATTACCAGACTTAGGTTTATCAGCGCAGGCTTTGAAAATGTCATCTTTATTTCTAGTGGCTGTATGATAAAATCTTCACAGGAGCCCATCACCTGATCTTCAGAAATCTCCCCATGAACTTGCCTTGGAATTCACTTAATATTTGCAAGCGAATGAGTAGTCGCGAAATTTAATATGCATTGGTCCTTTTATGCTCGTAGATCTGGGTAATAAGTTATAAACTGGACTCAGTGGACAGTAAGTACTGTCCGTCACTAGCTGCTCGGTCACCCAACTTCGTTCCAAAGGACTCCTTTCGTCTCGTTTCGAAGGAGAAACCGGTTGGCAGCCTCGATGAAGACGGCGCCCAGGCCTCTCCGCCATAGGCATTTTCGTTTTCTCAAGGAGGAAAGTCCAATAAACAGTCTTATTGGCTCTACAAACGCCATCTTCAAGTTTCGATCAAGATAGTCTCCACTGCCCAACAGAAGGAACAGCTACAGTGGGGTTCTTACCTCACCCAAGAGCCACCCGCCTCACCATATTTAAATTAAAAGACTAGAGAAAGATGTACAAACTGGGACGCTCTCATTGTCCCACCCTTTGTACTCATTGTCTTGTCCCACCCTTTCGTTGAATGGTTCTGAACATTATTTTTTTTGTTTTTGTTTTACTACTATATTGTTTTGATTGACTCATTCATCCTGCCGTCCGGTGCATTTTGCCCCCAGAATTGTGTTGTTACGCTCCTTCCGTCTCTCACTTTCGCCCGAAGTGCTTGACTGTATCCGCGGGAATTAAAAATTTAGGGGGAAATTCATTTGCACCCAATGGTCAGCGGTCTATTTGCAAAACGACTTGTCTCTCCTTCCCACACGAAGGTCACACGCCAATCATTCGAGAATCAATCGAGCTTTGAATTTTATTTCATTACGATGGAAATTCCTCATTTCATGCACAGATTAGATCCGGTAAACACTGAGGAAAGCATCAAGCCCCTCTTGAAGCAAATCAGACCAGAATGGGACCTCGAGAAAGTCAAATTTAAGGAGTTTACAGAGGGAATTAGCAATAAACTTATCGGCTGTAATTTGCCGGGTCTTGGGCATTCTGAAATGATTCTCTTCCGACTCTACGGAAACAAAACTGAGCTTTTTATTGATCGGGAGAAAGAGCTCGAAACGTTCCAGATTTTGCACTCCAAAGGGTATGGACCTCCAGTTTATGGCACGTTGGAGAATGGAATTTCTTACGGTTTCTTGCCTGGCGAAGTTCTCGATACAGACACAATCGCAAATCCTCACATTTCTTCTCTTATTGCGCGGCATATGGCGCATCTTCACGCTACTAAAATCGACCACGAGAATTCGCGGCACAAAGCAGAACCGATGTTGTTTTCTGGAATGACGAAGTACTTAAATCTCCTTCCGGAAAAGTTCGAGGATCCGGAAAAGAATGAAAGGTAAGTCGGGGGGGATGAGGGGGATATTGTGTAAGGAGGCAGGGGCTGCGAAGAACAAAACTCGGGGAGCGAGGTTGTCTGTGAACCTAAACTGTGACATACTGTAAAAGTCCGAAAATATAAGCCCCTCAAAATTGTAACGCAAAAAAAAAAACCCATTAAATCGCCCCCCGAATATAAGCCCCCGGGGGGCTTGTACATGGAATTTGCCCTCAAATACAAAGTAAAAATGGCAAATTTCCTTGCCACTACAAGCTAGCTCAATCAATTTTGAAACGCAAATTTCCCTCCGTACATAAGCCCCTCCAAAAATAAGTCCCTCAAAAAGGGCCTTTGAAAAATATAAGCCCCGGGACTTATTTTTGGAATTTTACGGTATGCAGTTAAAAACCAATCTTTCAATTTTTCTAAGAAGTTTTGGTGCTTTGAACTTCACATTAATTTTAATACCTCAGCCTTTTACAGAGAAAGGTGGAGTGGGGGAAGGGGGTGGCGGCAGTCTACCCTCCATTGAATTCTGTATTGTTACATTTTGAGAGGTAGTTTTGTCACTATTAGGTAGTTTTGTCTCTATTATATTGTTGTAAACCATATCGCTTGATTATGTGTTCAATACCAGTGGAACCAGTCAAGGCAATAGACTTGTAAAAATAAATGTACATAAGTTGCTCCTTCCACCACAATTCAAAAATATAAATAGGAGACAAGTAGCTTGCTAATGCCTAATGTCAAGCTGCATGCAAACGGACCCAACAACTCCCAGCACTGTTGGGCCAACGATTTGATTGATTGATTGATTGTCACGTTTGTTTGCACGTAGCTAAACATTTCACCGGTTTCAAACTTGGCTCAACAACTCCCAACAACACACAACAACATGCTACAGGGTGAGCAAACAGATGCAACATGTAACATCCACTGATGTTTGGAGTTTTTGGCCAGCAATGTTGCGTCAATTTGCTCGGGGCTTAATGGTGTTTCAATTCCCCCCTATCCTAGAGTAGCCATTTCCCTAGTCTAGATAAAATCTTCAACCAACTGATCAGTTTCCTGAAAAATGATACCCTATTCTAGACCCAGCAGCACCCCTCCCCCCCCCCCCGGGGTTTTTGACTGTGAAACTCCCACATATGGGTATTGTATTTTCCTTTTAGGTTTGAAAAACAAGCTCCCAGTAAAGCAAAGCTCAAGGAAGAAATTGAACTCCTCCAAAGTGTTTTGCTAAAACACAATTGTCCAGTTGTATTCTGCCACAATGATTTACTCTGTAAAAACATTGTCTATGATGAAACAAAAGGTAACTTGAAATAGCTGTTTACATCACTTGCACAGTAGCCTCAGAAAATAGCTGACATTGGCGATGCCATGCACCACTGGTTTCCCAGAGATGCCTATAATGCTTAGTGCATTATATGAAGTCTTACATGAAGTACATACTATCAAAATTTGCAATCATCACTAAGGGTGCGTTCCTTTGGGATGATCCAGATCAGGATCAGTGATCCGAGATCACTCAGATCATGGTAGATCAAATGAACTGATGAATCCTTGTCCAGAGTGGATTCATCGGTTCATTTGATCTACCATTATTTTGGTTTGCCTGTAGCCTACGTAGCAGGCGCTTGCAAGTAGTGGGCACGAGAAAAAACGGGCACGTGAGAAGGAGACACGCGAGGGGAGAGGAAGCGCCTGCACGGAAGGCCCCCGAAAATCGTTTCCCGCCCCCTCTCTAATTACTTGGCAGCCGTTGCGTGATCTGTCAAAAGTTTTGACAGAAAACGACTGACCTCGCACAAACAAAGCAAGCCGCCAAAAAGCGTTGTACATTTTATCTTTGGTCTAAATATATCTGTTATGAAGATCAGCTGGGTTATCTGATTATAGAGCGATGGAGCAATAAACTGATGGTTAACACACAGCTTTAAATCGTTTTTTAACATGGGCACAATAAATAGGAAATAACAAAGTCAAAACTGGGTATCTTTTAAAGAATGCATGCTGTGTATTATAAAAACTAAAAATATTGTTCTGGTCAGACACCAACGATCACAGCGTACGTGGAAAACGACCATATTGCTTTTACTGCGCTAACTGGCAGCCGTTTTTGGAGCAGACATGTCTTGCTAAGCGGACCTAAACCTCAGAACACAAACTGTACCGACATGTTTTCTACTGCAGTAATGAGACATAAACAACAGACCTCAGGTCGCCTCCGAACGGCGAATAATACTATATTGAAATGTTTTTTTCAAATTCATGCCCCGGGTAAGTGTTTCATTTCATCAATCATGTCCAAGTTTTGATGGTATGCGTTCCATCGACAGCACAAGCCGCCAAGTTCTCCTGAGCAAAGAATATTATTTTCCTCTGATCTTCATTGCAACGATTCGACAAATCTTTTGTCTCTCGCCACTTCTGTTGATGCGCATCCGATGTCAATTCTTTCCATCGTGAATAGCGTTTGAACACTCCAACTTTTCTTTGAGATTACAGCCACATAGTCCCATTAAACCAGATTGAAGTGACCTCCGAGACCTGAACTTCGATTGTATACAATTTAGTGGATTCAGGACCCAGTGGTGTAATGCAAGATCTTCACTAGATTGTCCATGTACTATTGATTGACAGTTTTCTCGCCCCGCGCGGTTAATTTTTCCCTCGGGAGCCTCTCTACCAATTGGAAATATCCGCACTCACAGAGTGCGAGTTGAAACGATTTTCAGGGCCCTTCCGTGCAGGCGCTCCCTCACCCCTTGCGTGTCTCCCTCGCGCGTGCCCGTTCTCTCTTTTGCCCGCTACTTCCAAGCGCCTACTACGCAGGCTAGTTTCCCTGTGAAATGACATGGGAAATTTGCTTCAAGCAATCAGAAGCACCACCTAGATCTTAGGCTGTTCACAGTCCCCTATTTTTCTGTAAAACCATCAAGATTGAGTGCTATGCATTATGTATGGCCATCGTTGGTTTCATATGAACTGATGGGTGGGCATCAGAGTTTATTTAGTACATTTGACAATCATCACCAGGCTAGACTCAGTACATATGAAACCAAGATTGTCGCCCATGATGCAAAGCACTCAATCTCACAGAAAAATAGAGTACTGTATGAACAGTCTACCTAGATCTGGGTAGTGTTGTGTCATCAGTGGGGAATTTCTCAACTAGTTTCTCAGACGCTGCTTCAGGGGGGAACCAATGGTGGCATCATGAAATGTTGGCTGTTTTTTCAGGCTACTTGCACATGTGCATAAAAAGAATAAATTTTCAGCATATTACATGTAACTATAATATTTATCGTTAAGTGAACTCTCGCATTATGGACACCCTTATAATACAGACAGCAGCAACATTGTGAATCCCCGCTAGTAATAAATTACAGTTTTTGACTGAAATAAACTCATGCTAACGGACCCTTGGGTACATGTAAATGACCTGGTTTTTTATCTTTAGCTAGGAGTTATTCCTTTGTTTCAAACCTATTTTCAAATATTACCATAACAAAAAAAGGTAAACCATTTAAGAACAATGTAATTGATCCCTAACACCTTTATTATGGGCAGCCCTAGATCAGAGAGCTAACAGCCTGGAAAAGCAGACTGTATATGTACTTCTGGTCGTGGCTTCTCTGGCAAAGAAATGGCTGGACTTTGTCCGTGTTTGCAGGCTATCGGAAAATTGGCAAAAACAAAATTATCTTTGTGTTTCTTTTTATTGTGTTGACTAAAGGGCTGATCAAAACTTGTTGTTTTCAGATACGATTCTAAGCATTGACTATGAGTATGCCGCTATGAACTTCCTTCCTCATGATATTGGAAATCACTTCTGTGAATATGCAGGTAACTGATGACAATTTTTTCAAAGTTAGTAAAGTTAGAAATTTACCATTATTGACTTTTTGTTGCTGAGATTAATAGAATACTATCTATCCATTTCAGCGCACCCACAACAACTTGATGAGTCTGTCCCATTCCCATCTGTTAGCCATGACAGATCTTGCCTCGTTATAGATCAGTACCATTTTTGCTAGGTGCCCCCTTGTGCATCTGCTTAAAACAATAACAGTACACAAGTGGACTAGTTTTGGTATTCTTTTGTGTTAGTAGCATTAATTAATTGCAATCACTAAATAATGTAAGCAATTACCCACACCCAGTCTAGACTGCAAAACAGTCCATATTTTTGCGTATTCAAGAACGTGCGAACAGTCAAACAAAAGGTCTGGAACGAGGCTGAAAACAGAGAGCGAGACTGGGGAGAGAGCCATTTACCATCTGTTTTATAACACAATCAAAAGAGAAAAACTTTTAGCAGGGGAATGACATGAGTGCAGTCATCAGCTCATGTTATGGCTTGTGTAAATCATTTACAATTGCAAATTCTTTTTAAGACGAATAAAATTATACTTATTTAAGAAAATGTATTAAATAATGTTACTCTGGAACCAGTCTCACCTTTAATTTACTGAATATATATGTTTTTTTTACACACTAGGAGTGGATGAGGTAGATTATAGTTTATATCCTAAAAGAGAACATCAGTTAAAGTTCATTGCAGTTTATCTTGAAGAAGCGGCTAAATTGAGAGGTACAGTGTGGTGTGATGCAGCTTCCTCCTTGGTTCAGTTTGAAATTATTTTTAACTTTCAGCATACATATAATTCAGTGTCATTTTGGAGTTATTGGTTGTGGGTGTCAAAAATTAATATTTATTACCGTAAATCCCCTTTTAACCCCACCCCCTCAAATAAGCTCCCCCCCCCGCTTTAGGGGAAGAAAGCTTATAAGCTCCCTCTCTATTTTAAGCCTCCCCCCTCCCCTGGCCTCCCCCTTATTTATATTCTTCACTAATAAATGAAGGACTGTATTAAACAAGTCCAACTGTGCAAATGTTGTAAAAAAAATAGTTGTTTTCCCACAGAGCACTTAGCAGTTCATAAGAACTTGTTGAAATGTGCCCGTGCGTTCCAGATCAAATTAGAATTAAAATTTTGGAAGTGTTAATTAATGGAGTTATTAAACCAACACGTCTATTATTTGGAAGTGTTGGCTTTTGACCTGCACCTTCTTATACTTGAGTTTTTCCACTTTCTATTCTAGTTCTTTACCAAGAACTGACATCATGGCCATTGTCTTTGCTAAATCAAATAAGCCCCCCGTCTCTATTAAGCCCCCCTCAAATGTCACTGTTTGAAATAAATAAGCCTCCGGGGGACTTAATAAAGGATTAACGGTATGTTGTATTTCAAAGGTGAAGCCAATCCTATCATCTCTGAAGCAGAAATTGAGATGCTTTATGTACAAGCCAATCAGTTTGCACTGGTAGGTTGAAAAATTTTTTTCATAGGTTCTAAATATTATTGTTACAAAAAATAATTATATAAAAAATGCAACCATTCATATTATTTAGCTAAACAAATAATATTGGAGTAAACATTAAGAGGAAATAATTATGACAGTGATACATGTTACTCTTCTTTTGCCTATAGGGAGCTCATTTTTACTGGGCCATTGTGGGCAGAGTTTTAGGAAAGCTTTTAGGATCTTAGTTCAAGCTCATTTTCTCAACAATGGTTTTTGCTTCTTTCTCCGGTGTCCTTGACGCTCATTCTGGTATGGTTTGATTTCTTAGGGAAAGTTGTCCTTGATGGTTAAAAATGTGTCACAAAGGGCCATGCATGTGATGCCAGCCCATCTTCTTTTAATACAGGAAGCTGGACACATTCTTTGAAACTTTGAGAATGATTAAATCACATTATTTTAGCCTTGATGCTGGGACCTTCTCTTTGTTTATATGTTTACAAAATATTGTGTGCAAGAATAATAGAACTTATTTACCATACCTGCCATCTTTGCACTTCCTTAAGGACTTATGGGATAAAAGCAATGTCATGTGGTTTCTCAGGGGGCAAACAAGTGATAAATGCTGCCAGTCGAGTTTGTTTATTCTAGACAACAGAAAATTTACAACTTTTTACCTTAAAGACAAAAATGGCAAATTATGAGTGGTTAGTAGTGATTATTGTTTCTTTTCTGGTTGCAGTTATTTAGTGACCATAGATCCGGTCCTAACAGAAAGCAATAATGATCTAATTTACTTGTTGAAACTCCAATTTTACATTTTGCAGGACTAAAATTTTCATCTCGTTTGAGAGAATTAACAAACCTAATCGCGATTACTTGTGTTGGCAAATTTTGAATCTTGAATACCCCCCAAAAATCCCTTCCCAAAAAAATACTTGCCAAATTTTCCTACCCCCCCCCCCCAAAAAAAAAAAAAAAATTGGGAATCGAAAATTTCAAACCCAAAAAAATCCTTCAATCATCCTTGTCACTTGAAATCTGGAGTACCCCACCTGGGGTTGATCTCCATTATGCTTTCTTTATATTAAAAGCATAAGAGAGTAAGCCACCTACATACATCCAGTCACTGACCCAAATCTCTTTCTATGTAACAGCCTACTTCAGTATTGAGATCCTAGTCAGAGGGTGCTGACAACTCTACCAATAGCTAAGTACACTTAAAGGGCATATAGAGAGAAGTGCTGGATGACAAGTAGCAGATGCTGTTATTATTTTTCAGTTAAAATGCAATTTAATGTGACTTCTTCTGTTCAACTTTGGTTTTGAGGTTTTTTTAATCATTGTTTTCATGGTCATCAGGTCCTCATTTTTCTACACATTCCCCCACCCCCGAGGGTTCACCAACCATTGCTAAAGCACAAGGTTGCTTGGAAGAAAAGAAAAAAGAAAAAAAAAGTAGAGAAGGAAAGAAGGGTTCCTTCCTCTTCTTGCCTTCTCTAAACCCAAGCTCTGCCCCCCCCCCACCAATTTCTACCTTTGTACATTATTAAATTTTTCACTTTATAGTTAATGGTAACAATAAAATAGTAATTTCATATTATTTTACTACAGTACTCATTGGCAACTAATCCTTGGTTCTTTCAGGTATGGAATAACACGTTTCAATGAGTACTTCAGGCGAAAGGATGAATTCTTAGCTCTTTCCTATGACAACTAATAACAGTTTTCAAAACGATTTTAAAATAATCTTGATATTATTGTAATAATCAGAATTGATCATTCTGACAAGTTAACACAGAATCTGGGGAAAAAAATTTCTATTAACTTATTTGTCCCCCCAAATTATGGTTATTTTATTGAATGAGTGAATTCAAATGAATGAATGAAAGAATAAATGCATGCATAAATGACTTTATTTCACAAGGGTAACATTTGACAGTTAATAAACTGATCAGTTGCCTTCAAATAAACTATAAGCTGACTAAAAACAGTGTTAATCAATAAAGGAAAGCACTATCTACAGCAGCAAATAAAATTGGCTATTATTTGATGAGGTTGAGTCATGCAGGTAAAGGGGCAAAATAATAAGGCACTGACAGAGGTATCACCATCTGATATCTCCATAATTCTTTGGATCATACAAGAAGGGAAATCCAATATATATTTTATTTTATTTTTTTATTTATACATTTTTTTAATAAGTGAATTTGGTTTTTGCATGATCTTTGAAAATTGGAGCCCTCAAAACCAAATAGTTTCTGAGAAAGTCTTGTTCAAAAACTCAAATTTTGTGAATAATGTAGGGAACATAACTTAATTTTTTATTTTTGCAGTTTTTGATGGCTGCTATTTCTTTGTGATGCAAATTGCAAAGAGCTGAAAAATTGCACAAATTAAATTGCCTCAGTTAACCAGCTTTTTTTCAAATTTTGACACTATTTGTTTGGTAAATTATAAGCAAAAAATGGTGTCAGCAAAGATTGGTCTATAAACTTTCAGATGAAAGGTTTGCAGATTCTTTGTTGTTTTTCATTAGCATGTCATACATGTACTCTATCAGTTTAAGGTGCTTGTTTCTAGAAGAATTGAACCAACTTTTTAATGCATGTGCCATTGAAGATCATTTTACATTCCTTGGAAGAGAAAAAGCCAATTTGTTCAAAAGAATATAGAGCTAGTGAAAACAAAAAAGCATTTCCAGAAAGTTGGGCCATGGGTTAACAATATCCATACATTGTCAAGAGATTTGGTTATGAGAATTAATAAAATGATCATCTAATAGAAAATGCTTTGATCTTTTATCAAATTCTCTCAACTCATTCTTTAAGAAAATGTATAGAGATTAGTTTGGAGAATTTGTTCATGTATATTGGGGCTTAAAGGGTTAACATAATTACACTATTTTAATGTAAAATAGGCCAGCCAACAATGCTGTTTTAGTCCTTAATGTAAAATAACTAAATGTAGTTATCATTAATGTTGTACAGTCAAACTTCCTATAAGCGACCACCAAAAATGCTGACTAAGAGATTTAGTTGTTACTTTCAAAAGTGAACCACAGCATATCTCTTCCAAGAAAAGGTCAACAGCTATTGAACTCAGAGTATTAATGTACATCCATACCAAGTCTAAACAGTGGCTAATTGTCTCTTAAAGTCCCTTTTACACTTGTTTTGCATTGTACATACAAGTCAGTGAACATGGAGATCAGAATAAATAATTTATTTAAGTGGTCGCTTACAGCAGGTAAAAAGCAGCAGTGGGAAATTAAAAAACTGTAACTCCTAAAGATGGTAGGGTTTGTGTTCCAGATGTACCGGTAGTTTGCTTATGAGAGGTTCCAGCTACATTGTATAGGGATTTGAATGGAAAGCTTTTTGTGTGATTACACATAAATGGTTGGCTGACAGTGTATATAAAAATAAATTTTACGACAAAAATGCTTTTTTTTGTGATGATTCACTTTAACTTATGAAGAATTTAGTGGTACCTGAGGGAGAATTGAGATTACTTTTTTATTCATTTTTTACTTACTTTTTGTATTAATGTTTCTTTCTATTAATTTACTTAATTGAGTGATTGACAGACTGGAGTGCTAGTCGACCTAAAATGAAACTGTTTATATCAACAATAATAATTTTATTATAAGTCACTCAAAATATTTCACTGTTTTTGATGACTTTATTTTTTTGGCTAATTCCTCATAATCAGCTTGCTTTGACTTAATTTGTAATATGTAGGCATGAATATTATTACAATCTCTGTACATGTCAAGTGACAGCCTAGCTGTTAAGTCATGGTTGCAGAGAGAACTCAAAAACATGGCAAAAGAGTTCATGGCAATATTAAGACTGAACAACTGTATAATTTTTGACTTCAAAATCAGTTTCCTACTTTTTTTGCTAAAACTGCTACCCAGATTGCTAGCAAATTTTTGCTACAGCTTGTAATCCTTAAGTTTTGTTAAATTGTTTTTCTTGCTATTTATTTGCTATTTCGTCTATAAGTTTCTGCAAGCAGTTTCCCTTACACGTTTTTTTTGCTAAATTTGCAATAAAATTTTGCTAGCAAACCAGTTTTGCGACAGAGTGCAATCCTAATCCAATATAATAATAAATTGTTAAATATAAATAAAGACACTTTTAATAATGTTATTATTATTTAAAGGTCGTCAGGGAGTTATTACACTCCATATAACAATTTATTGTGCAGTCGGTCAAAGTACTTTCTTTTGGTTTGTTGCTTCATACTTAGGTTTTTTTCCTTGGTCTTCATACAACTACAAAAATTTTTCTTTTAATTTTCCCTTTACTATTTGTATAGGTAATGGCATGATTAGTAGTGATATTTGGCATAAATAACACAAGTGATATTTCGAAATTGTTATACTTAATTTCACGAGCCGTTAGGCAAGTGAAATTTGAGACAATTTTGAAATATCACGAGTAGTATTTATGCCAAATATCACGTACAAATCATGCTATTAATTGTTTATACTACTACCTGCAAAGGTTTTGTAATTTTCACATGTGGGTATTTCAAATTAAGCTGAAATACCACTGGTCTAAGCCAATCAAATTGCAGAAATTTCTCATGTAGTAGTATAAAACTTGTTATAAATTAGTGTGTCTAATAAAATTTTAAGTTTTAGATATACTTGTTGATTGTTCTATTTTTTTTCCAGAGGTGGGGGGGAGGAGGGGTACTTTGGTCTGGATTCAAAGTGACTGGGGTGATCAAAGAGGACAACAATCCAAACCCAACAAAATGGGAGACTAACCTTAACAACATTTAAAAGTGTTCAAATAATGTTATAGTAAATAATTATAATGAGACAGTTCAATCTGCAATAATGCGATAACATCAAATAGTTTGACAGTCAAACTTGCTATCAAATTGGCACACCCCCTTCCTCCAAACAAACCTTGTGAAAGCTGTCTTCCCCCGCCAAAAAGGAAAAAAATGCTACTTATGCAAGCATTTCCATGCTTAACACAGGCTGCACCAATTACATTTTTCTTCAGCTTCTCAGCATGCAAACAACAGAGTTGCAAAAGTGGACCACAAATGCAGTTACATGAACATTGCAATTTAATTCAAGATGATTCATTAGAGACTGACAATAGAAGCTGTTTGCAAGAATAGTGTTGTTGCTTCTTAACTTCCATGCCACTTGTTCCTTCCCATTCTAATACTATTGGACTGCTTCACATGGGTCAAAATGATGTCAAAAGTTTCTTTTCAAGCCTCATTAATATTTTTGCATATTAATTTACATTAATACCTAGATGTACGTACATAATTATGTGACCTCTCACACTAAAACAATTCTTAGGATATCCAATTGAACAGCTGAATGCAAAGCAAGTGAGAAAACAGAGAGCTAAGCTGTTCCAACGGCTGATGAACAGCATGCAAACAGCTATCCGTTTCAAAACAGCAAACCATAAGGAACATTTTCATGTGAATGGTCACATTATAGCAAAACGTTAGGGTAGACTGTGACAGGAGGCTAGAGAGCTGTTATTTTGTTGTTATGCCCCTCCCTTTGCAAACTGGCCTTGGTACATAACTTGGCCACGATAGCCACCAAACTGCACAGTTGTATATACCAGTATTCACTATTTCAGGGTTTGCTAGCGATATCCAAGTCTGAAACTGATACACGTAGCTTTGTATACATGATAATCTCAAATAGAATCAAGGGAAACTTTGACACATGTAATGATCTCTCCATATTTACACCTTGAGCTAGAGTATCAGAGTTTCAGTGGCACTTCTTCTTTGGACTACTGGAGGGAGAATGAAGACTTCACTGACTAGACCCCTCCTGTTGCTCAGGCTGCTGAGAGGTAAGCATCATAAATATTACGACAGGAACAATGTACATCCACTGCAAGAGAAAGAAAATCAAACAAACTTGAGATCAAGGAAAGTAATATTGTTGGTCTTTGTCACTCATTTCATTTGATAATACATAGGTACCCTAAGGTAAGAAAGAGTTTAAAAAGGTGCAACATGCCAGCATTTTAGAATACAATGTAGCAAGTCAAAAAAGTTACAATAAGTGCCACAAAGTAACATTGAAGTTTATTAATTAACACTGTCACATACATTTCACTGGTTAGGGTAAAGTTCATTGTTTTTAGGGAGCTTAAGCAACGACGGCAGCCACATCAACAAGAATGGCAAAAAAGTAATAGGCTTAGACTGGCAAAACAACAACTCTGCATGTGCATCACACTTTTTTGTACATTTCTTTGCTATCAACGTATGACTACAATGTGAAAGTGCCTAATTTCACGTTTTATGAAGGACATGAACACTTGCAACAACTTGCTTTTTTTCCCTGAACATCAATACAGTCTCTTAGAATTTTAACTCCAGAAAAATTTACCAACATTTGATGAATTGAACAAGATGAAGAGTGATAAAGTTTGAAGCAGCACAAATTCATTTTTAAAGTGACATTTTCCCAAATAAAATTCCTAAATGAAATTTCAAATGAGGATATTAAACTTTAACAACAACATAAACATGCACCTGAACACAAAAAATCATAACTCAACTCACGTATTTAGCTAAAAATGATCTATTGTCTTGAGTCTTCCCAGCTTGCTTCTCTCGTTTCTCCTTCTCCAGTCTTTGAATGTAAGTCTGAGTATCAGGACTGCAACATGCACCAGATACAGACTAAGTACCCAGCAATGAAATAAATTCCTCATGAAAAGAGACCCAAAGGGCCAATTAAGTGTAGCCAGGTATTCAAATTTGTTAATCGTTTTGCATGCGGATCACTTAGCATGCAGTGGAATGTGGGTAGCTACAATAATATATGCAAAAAGATTTATAGTAGTTGAGACAATCCAATACTATCTACATCAAAAGGTAATGTGAAACTTTTCATTCCCCACCCCCTCTAAGCAATATTATTATTGTGCCACTGGTTACAGTGTTCATTGTTTCCTGTGGCAAGCAAGAGGTGGGATTGACGAGGGGAGTAGATTGTTTTGTTCTTCAAGAAATATCCCATTATTTTGATGACAGTCTTTTAACAATTTTGTTGTCAACTGAAGATTTTCAAGGCCTAATAGCATAGTTGTCACCCATGACACTAATTTTCTACATAAAATTATTCTGGATTTGAGACATGGCTATTAAGAAAAAGTGGAAAATTAAAAAGGTGGTCCTGTTTTCCGGTTGAATTTCCGAACAGAATGTCGTGTTCCATTGACGCGTTTTTTGTACCAGTTTCCCCTTCACCCTAAGCTTTGGGAGGCTTTTTGGGGAGAAATTGCCCTTTCACCCTAAGTTTTGGGAGGCTTTGGGAGAAATCATATTTCAATTTTGATCCTTAGCTTTTAATGAATAAAATTATTATTCCAATTTTTATGCCCAGAGCAGACTTCAAGAAGCTCACTGTAGGCTGGCAGGAGTGATAATTTAATTTAAATGGCTATGTTAAGAGACAGTACTTCCTTTGGGGTCAGTGTGAAGTAGATTGGCTGAATGGTTGGTAATGGAGAGCAGTGTACCTGCATGTGGGTGGAGTAAAGGAAAGAACAAACTCAGGTGAACCAGCAAGCAAAGGAGTGAGTAAACTTCAATGAGTTCAGTGAAAAAAGGTAAAAGACTATCAACTACTGCCACATACGTACAGATTAAACAAAACCAGTTGTTATTAATAATACATGTAACTGTTAAAATAAACTCACAGCTGTCCTGTTCCTTGAAGCATTACTGCCACTGATGAATTAAATTGAGAAGGTAAGCTTACAGCATCCTTGAGAATTGAAAAACAGACAACCAAAGTATTATTATTTGATACTGTTATTGAACTCGACATAGTTTAGTGCATGACTACGCTGCTTGTAGTGCCACTATTTTTGCCAAAAGTAAATGCTGACACTATGAATGAGAAGGAATTTGCATACTTCTACCCTTTCCACTGGGTTTCTCAGGTAATAGTGTACAATGTACAAGAGCTCATGACAGTTTTTTCTTGGATCCACTAGTCCCCTTACATTTTACAGGGACTCCATAGCTACCTCCTTTGTACTTATAGCTACAGGTGATAAGTCTGATAATCCATGAAATACAAGTTATTTTTTAAAATTCTTAAAAAATGTTTCACTCAACTGGTCTTCTTTTTATGCTTAGACAACAGTTATCGTTCTGGAAAAAAGTGCTACTTTTGCTTATAGTTATCAGCCTTCTTGACCATTAAAATTCCCAGGAGAAACCAGCATCTTATTTCTCCTTATGGCATCATGGCTGAATGAAACATAAAGGTCATGAGAATAAAGGAAATGATCACCAACTAAAAACATCTTTATTGTTAGGCAAATTCTCCTCCTCAGCAACATAGGAAATGTGTAACGAACAGCATGGAGAAATGCATACTGATAGTTGCATTGAATGTACACAATATTAAAAAATTAATGACAATCACTTACCCAGTTAAGGGTCTTTGCTTGGCACCCACCATCAGGGACAATCAGCCCGACACCATATAAGTGACCTTAATGAAATCAAACATTCTAATTAAGCTCTCACGTTAGGCCTGGATAAATAAATCTGTTGGCAGACTTTCAAGCAACTACATTTTTGTCCTTGTTTATAAGAGACAGCTGACATAACAGATTCAACTGGAAACATACTGCATACCTGTGTTATCCAGTGTTAAAGTTATTGTCTCTGTAAGTTTTGATGTAAACAGGGAACACTGGTAAAGAAGTAAAAGAATTAAACATAAACAATTTGCTTTCCATGTCAGCCGTAGGATAAAATAATGATATGAAATAAAAGTCATATCAAGAACATTTTTAAAATTCTTAGAAGTCAAGACATTCATAAGTTGAATTTTTTTCTGAGTCCCCTTTCATTTGTGACATGACTGCAATTACAAAATTAATTTAAATTTTATGATTAAAAATAATATTATGGCTGATGCTACTGTTTTTTACTTAGTAATGTATTGACAACACTGTGTTCTGGCCTACTACAAAAAGATATAAATTATTAAAAGAAAGGTTAAGTTTGTTGGGATATTTTTCCAAACAATATTTTACAATTATGTTTGGAAAAATTTATTATTATTATTATTATTATTATTAATATCATTATTGGTGTCCTCTTTCCTCTGCCGTCCCTAAGTTCACCAGTTAAAAAAATTGTTTTGATTAACATGTGAGTTTTTTTAACTAAGAATGGTCAAAGTCATGTGAACATGAACGAGATGGTTAACAACCACAAATTGTAAATGTAATACATACATTAAGGATTTCTTTGCACATGTGCATTACAAGGGTTCAAGGAAATGTCAGATTCTGAATAAAGCAGACAACCAACCAAGATAAAAATCAAGTTACTGAAGAGTCTGCATACTTCAATGATAAAAAGATGGTATTAAAAAATTAATGGTATATTAAAAAAGCAGCTAAACTTACAGCTTTCACAAATGTAGAAACACTGCTATCAATGCCTTCACCACCATCCATGGACTTTGGGCGTAACCGTATTCTGTAGTACCCGTCTTTTAATGCCAGGTCCTAAGGGATAACAAAATTCAAAGGGTGGATTTAACATGAAATGCATCTCTTAAGTACAGTACAATAAGTTAGCTAGTTATTTTATTAATTTTATTTGCTCCATGAAGGCGACTAGTGATACAATATGTACTATTGTGCCACAAAATTATTCATTCAAAATATTTTTTAAGCTCCTGATTGGCTAAAAGCCCCAACACAAAATTCACCATAACCAGTTATATGACCAAATTTGTAAACCAAAAATCACATCTCATCTGATGACCTAAAAAATGCAGCGTTCTTACAGATATAAGCCACCAAATGTATTGAAATGAATTTGATTTATTTTGAAGTTCTAAAAATAAAAATAGTGGAAAAATATTAATGTTTTAAGAGTATTTTGATCAAACTACAGCTTGGAACTGCATTTTTGAAACAACTATAAGCCCAAAAACATAAGCCCTATTAAAGCACCTTATGAAGATACAATTCAATAAAGGTTGCTTTGGCAATTGGTCATTGGCACTTGAACTTTGGGCATTTGGGTAAACAGAAAGACATGATGATTTGCTTGAGTGACCACCAAATGATAGATTCCCAGTGCACAATGATTCAATAATGGTTGCTTGGGCATTGGTAATTGTTACCAAAGTCCAAAGCAGCCTTTATTGAATCAACTATATATTATAGCAGGGCTTATGAGGAGTACCATAAAATTCCGAAAATAAGCCCCGGGGCTTATAATTATTTTTCAAAGGCTCTTCTAGAGGGGCTTATATTTGGGGGGGCTTATCTATGGTGGGAAATTTGCATTTCAAAATTGATTGGGCTAGCCTTATAGCTGCAAGTAAATGTACTGTTTTGGCATTGTTTTACTTTGTTTTTTAGGTCCATTTCCAAGTATAAGCCTAAGGAGGGGTGATTTAACGGAGCGTTTTTTCCTTTACGAGTTTGGGGGGCTTATAATTTATTTGGAGGGGCTTATACATGGAGGGGCTTATTTTTGGAATTTTACGGTAGTTTATGACAATGAAGTAGTTCTTGACCAAACAAATTAATATGCATTACCTTCAGATTCTCAACTTCATCCAGTGATAGTGGTTCTGTCTGTGATATTGTTCCAGTAGAACTCTTGACTGTCTTAACATAAATGGTTCCCCTTAGCAAGAAAAAAAAAATGTTTCAGCCTTAGCAAAATGTTGCAGTAATTGTAATAGGAAATTTGGGTGTTGTATATTATAAATTAGCCATTTTATTAAACCTTTCATGTAAGAATTAACTTTTTTCATAGTCAAGTGGCATGCTCTGATGCATTAAATATCCATGACAAATTTGATTTCTGGTAAATTTCAATTTAACCATGATGACTCTCTATTTCCACTGACTGAGAATCAGTGTACCTAGCAAAAAAAAAAAAAATTAATAATCTGGAATCGAACAATTGACCTGTTATTATGAACTGCACACTGAAATATTAAGGGACATTTTCAGAATAGTTGGGTTTGTGGGCAAGTATTTTTTTTTTCTCCCTTCCCCCTTCTTCCCTTTACTCACTTTATTTCCTCTTTCCTCTACAAACTAGCACAGGAACACTTTCTAAGCAGTTTAGTAACATGATAAAATAGCAACACTTTTACCTTGGTTTAAAAACTGCATCTGCTTCTAAAGAAAGAAAAAAATTAATAGGAAGGGCAGATTTTTTTACAGCAATTGAGGGAGAGCAACAGAGGGAAAAAGTCCCTAGTGACCTTTGATAAACTCTAAATGCCTAGTATATAAGTGTAACGTTATAAAAAATTACGTTTGTTCAGTTATGGGATTTGTCAGCATATTCTGAAAGAACAACGTCCAAAAGTGCTACTTGCCAAAAATTAGCATTTCAGGGCAAATTGTCTCTGAGATATTGCCCAGTTATGTTCTGATGACTCCTTCCAAATCCTTCTAAATTTGAATAAGAACCTGACATGTTACATCCTTGTTTGATCCTGATTTTTATATTAAAACCACTTTGGTATTCTTCTACAGCACACTCAAAGTCTTCATAGACTATTTTTACTATTCTCACAATCTTTTGTGGTACTCCATATGCTACATGCTTTCACCATGGAAAGGGTCAAATGCCTTTTCAAAATCTATGAAATTCAGACAAAGTGTTGCTTGCCACTCGTTAACCTGCTCAGTGACGTGCTGTGTATACATGTCAATGTTGTAGTTAAATTTTATCCTAGGTGTAATTTTCATTTTCTTTTGTTTCAAACTCATTATCACATAAATTACCATACCCCCACAACAGAACTACTTGAAATAATTCCCCATTCCCAGGCCTGAAGGCCTGGACTTGTCCCGGTGGTTGCCCGGAGGGATGGTAACAGGTCAAATTGAACCATGCATTACCTTTACATTTTCGTTCTATGTTTATGGTGCACAAGTTATGAACATGAAAGTCTATAATAAATTCACCGAAAGGGTTCTATGTATAATAATTATTACTACCTTTAATTAAGTTATTACTGCTCCTATTTAACCTATACAAACACTCAACAAGGTATCAAAGAAATTCATGGCAGGATGATTTGTCTGGCCATGAGCTTATATTATCAGCATGCAAAGAAAGTAGTGTGCAACAGCCTGGGGCTCGTGGATTTTGCTATCGGGCTACTCGGCTAGTGAGCTCTGTTCCTAACTTGCCCGACGGGCAAGTGAAGGTCTTTGAGGAATTCAAATTAGAGAAGAACTGTGACATCAGTTCCGCTCATTAAAACGTTTTTGGGGTTGGTTGAAATGATGTTTGGGCTAGTAAATGTTAGCTTCAGCTTGCCCTAATGGCAAGCTGTAAAAATGACTTTCTTTGCACCCTGATTATTATAACGATACTTCCAGGAAAACCCCATCACACTGGTATTTGCATCAGCACCCTAAAAATTATAGAATTGAAGAAAGACCTACCTTCACTTAAGCAGTGCTCGACAGTGAAAACTAACTCCTCCCCACGAGGTTCAATACTGCACACCTTTTAATTGTACACAGTTAGTAATTAATTTCCACGTGAACGAGAAGGGTAAATACAAATTTCTAACAAAGTTCAAAGAATGCTACGAATAAATAACTGCTGGATAACTGGAGATCTCACCATATCAATACAAACAAGCAGGAACAACGAAAGAACAAAGACATTAAAATTTGTGAGACCGTCCGCCATTTTATAAGCAACACAACTCCCTCTAAGAATGCCGGTATATGGCTTATTCAGTTTTCCGAAGAAGTCTGGGTACAAGTTGACAAGCAAGATGGCGGAGAAGATGGCGAAGATGGCGAGAACGAATGCAGCGTTTGCCCTAAAATAACTGTGGTTTTTTACTAACACTTCGTTCTACTTGTCTGTTTTTGAAGTCTTTTGATGCTATAGAGCTGTAAGTATGCCAGAAGAAGTGATAATGAAAGAAGTCGGTGGCTTAAAACGCGAGATCAAGCGTGCAAAGTTGTTTGAAGTTCAACGGCTTGTCAGAAGACTCAGACAGCTGGCCAACAAAAAGGGATCTGAAACTCAAATAAAAAAGAACCAAAGAAAGGTAGAGAGGTTTGAGAAGGAACTGGAGTTCTTAAAAGACGTGGGAGTTGATGAAATCGCTCGCAGAATTGCCAGTACAAATGGGGAAGACAGTCTTAATAATAATCAAGCCATCAAAGACAACAAGGAAGACCCTCGTGCGGATTTTGTTCTTCAGGAAAAGGCTTTAGATAGGGTTGTTAATTCTACGAAGATTAAAGAATTTATGAAAAGGGTAGATGCTAGCAGGAAAGATTTTGATCATTCTGATGTAAAGAAAGGCAACAATGATACAGAGGTTGCAAGGGCAGAAAGGCAACAAAAAATTGTGAAAGACAAGTCTAAAGATAGAACAAACATTTTTGGTTTACCTGATATGAAGGCATTGCTAGATGAGGAAGCTGAAGTTGATGACAACACAAATTTTGTTGAAGGAAAACTGATGCTACAAAGGAAACGAAAACCAGCGAAGGAAAAAGGGAGAGATGAGGTATCTGATGACAAACCGTCACATCATGTAAATGACAAGGATAAATTCAGCAGTGATGGAGAAACCTCAAGAGTAAAACCAAAACAAAAGTTTGCTGAACAGGAGTTTTTTGTAGACAAGGGCTTTGCAGCTGAGCTACTAGCAAGAGAAGATGTTGATGATGACAGTGATGGCTATAATTCAAACTCAGACCTTGATGTAAGTGACTTTGAAGAAGATAAGGAAGACAGTGACAGTTTTTCATCTCCAGAGCTTAAGTTCAAAGGCTTAGAGTCATGTTTTGTGGGGACCATGTCTGGCGCTAAAGGAGATAAAGGCTTGAAGGGTAGAAAAAAGCAGAGGAACGTAAAAGGAAGGTTGGGTGATAGAAAAGGAAAAAGAAATTGTAGAGGACAGCGTGCAAGACAGCAGATTTGGGAGAAGATCCATGGAAAGAGGGCAAAACATTTGCATAAAAATAACATTATAATTAAACCAAAGGAGTATAAGGAAGATAGGAAACAGACAAGTAAAGTCAAAGGTCAGCATTCTGTCAAACGAAAGAGTGATGATGAGAGTTTACACCCATCATGGGAAGCTGTGAAAAGAAAAAGATTGCAGGAAACAGTTAAGGTTGAGTTCAAAGGACAGAAAATCAAATTTGATGATTCAGATTGAAAATTAGGGAAGTATTAGTGGTACATGTACTAGTAATGGAGAAATCTCATGTTTGCCAAATTTTCTTTTTTACAGTGTATTTTTGTAAGTGATTACTCCAGTTTAAGGGTTCACTTAATCACTTGTTCAAACAATGTTAGAACACTGGCTTGTTGGTAATTCTCCTGTATACTGCTTGCAAAGAAAGCTTCAACTGTTTTTTGAAAAATCATGTTGTGCAATGCTGCTAATCTAAGGAAGATAATTGGCCAGCAGGAGGTTCCTACACTGTATGTTTTTTTATTATTATTTTATTTTATTTTATGTTGTTAGTCAATTCAATGAATGAAGTGGAAAAAGAATCAACACAGGAGTAGTGTGATTTTCTTTTACAGTGTATCTTTTTCATTGATGTACAGGTGTATCAAGCATATCCTTTTTCTTTGACCAGTTCCCTCCAAGAATGAGGTGTTGGGTGGTGATTGGTCATTCTGACTTTCCAATCTGTGGACAAAATCCTATGATGTTTTCCTTTTAACCCTTTCACTGCCAGAATGTTTGATAGAGTTTTGTGACTTAACTCTAACTTTTGAGTCTGTGGACGAATTGCTGTGACCATTCAAATGAAAGCTATCTGCCTGAACTTTCACGTGATGCTATTTGTTTGTCAAATTTTAGAAAATGAAATTTGGAAATTTGGTCGAAATTTGCCTTTGGCCACATTTGCCAGTCAAAGGGTTAAGTGAAACCTCTTTGGTTGATTTTTTTTTGCATGGTACAATTTTCTTTGGATTTTCTTTATGAATTTACCTTGGCAGCTGTTAGGAGTTAATAGATTACTGTAATGACGGTATGGTCAGGTGGTGGTGGGAGGGGGAGGGTTGTTGCTTGTAAGAGATTGACAAACAAGACTCTCCAAGCCAAGAACACTTGCTAAGGTGAAAGATGACTGATCATTCTACAACCTAGAAAGCTTGGTATCAAAAGTTACTGTAACAACTAGAAATGTGAAGCCAGCAGATCTCTCCTAGATGGTGAACATCGCTATATCAAAAAAGCTTAAGGTATGAATATTGTATCAATAATTAAACTACAATTGGCGACAAAATTAGTTGTGACACTTTGCCCTGAAGGGCCTCATTAACGTTTTGCCAAGGTAAAAATGGGAAAATAAAGCTTTCCCTCCCCCACCCCTCCCATGCCATGTTGTGCCACTGTTCAAGCTACTTGTAGAAAACAAAAAACACCCAGACTTTGTAAGGAGGGGAGGGGCCAGTGTGGATTGTTTTGCTCTCTGAAGTGACCCCATTTGTCTCAACAATTTTGTCGCCAATTTAAGATGTTATAAGCAAGTACTTTTTATAATTTCCCTAGAATGATGCGAGATTGCAATTTCCTTTTCCTTTCTCTCTACTTTGAGTTTAGTTGTTAAGAATATTTTTATGGATTTGCAGATTTGGAACGTTTGGTGGATCGTGGTCTCCTATAACATGGATTGTGGAAAGTTTGTTTTCTTTTCAAACCCATGGTCATTTTCTAGTCACTTGTCACCTGACTTTGATGAGGAAAATTTTGATCCCAGAGAACAGATTTTACCTGCAATGGGTGGGTGTGGTTCTGCAGTTCCATAGCATAAGGGCTAGGTTACTGAAACTAGTATTGAAAGTGCTCGGGTTCTAACCTTGGTAAACTAGGGGTATCTGGTTACCTCGCCACCAAACCATCTGGCCACCAATGAAATCGCCACTAAGAAATACATATCTTAATACTTTTCGAAAGGACAAGTCTCTAAAAAGAATTCTTTCACTTTAAATTTACAATGAAATTTAAGGAGGTAAGGTTCAAGTGACAATATTAACCAGCTTTCACAAGAAAGGCTGTTGTATTTTAAACAAATCACACCTCTCGAGCAATGAAAATAAGCCGTACAGGTGTATTAAGAAATTCGAAAGTCGCAATTATTCACAAGAAATGAAACTAAAGATCAGAAGTTCGACGTAAGGTGTCAATTAAAATTGATAAACTTATATTTTGGTTTGAGGCAGAAGTAACCATCCCAAGTAAGTAAACAGTGTCAGTTATAGCAGAGTTATTATTTGGTGGCGAGTAGACAGTCTACTCGCCACCACATTGCCACCAAGAAGTCTGACTTCTTTGTGGCAATTTCATTGGTGGCAAGATGACCATAAACCACTGGTTTGAACTCAGAATGGATTTGACCCACAACACAACCACTTCTGACGATTGATACTTGCTTAGTCGGTTTGCACCCTAGCATTTTTTATTTTTTTTGCACCCTAGCAATTTGCTTTGAGTCAAATGGTGTACAGAGTTCACCCTAGTAGGGAGGCTAAGGGAGCAAAGCTGGGTGTATTCTTTTTGACCAAGAAGTTTCGGTCCGAGACAGTTTCAACAAAAGTAGACTTGCTTTCTCACGGCTGCTACTCTATGGTCACAGCAAAGATAAAATCATGAGTTTTAATGTGTAACACTTTGTAGTGAAACTAGTCTCTACGCTGTTCTACGAAAATCAATCAGACAGCCATTCCTGTCAAGCATCGATTGTAGTACAGTTTGTTGTATTATGCAAGGTGTGCTGAAATTTGGCTCTCTTTTTTTCACAATGCCGGCCGTGTGCAAGCCGTGTGCAAGTTTCCAGTAAACCTGTCGTCCACATGTTACTAGGGCTGTGGTTAACAATCTACCCACTGATTTCTAACAGCAGCGTAAAAACAGGACAACGCCAACAATGCATAACTCTTAGTTGCTGATTTGGATTGTGGTAGCTGACTGCAGATTTTAAATTTTAGGATGCCGAAGTTCGTATTCATGAACGCGATTCTTCACTGCTCTATCGTTAACTGGGTGGGTCATGTCATTTAGGGATCAATTTAGCTTTCTTGGGAAAGTGCTCACCTACCCCTCCCTTAAGCTTACATTAACACTTCTCACTTAAAAATGTTGGCTTAGGGGAGGGGTGGGAGGTCAGTTTCTCAGAAACTTAAATTGTTCCTCATTTTACACTAACAATAAAGTGAATCGTTCAAAATTATTCTGTGCTTTGCTCGAATGAAGTAGTCATTTGAAGGTTTTGCCAATCACCATTTAAAGCCCCTTTTAAGCCCTCCCTCGTCAGCGAACTGGTTTCTGGGATATTCTAATTTAAATGAAGTATGCGTTGGTTCTTAACCCTTTAAGCCCTAATATCCACATACAAATTCTCCAAACTGATCTCTATACATTTTCTTTAAGAATTAGTTAAGAGAATTTGATAAAAGATCAAAGTATTTTCTCTTATGTGATCATTTTATTAATTCTCACAACCTAAACTCATGATAATGTATGAATATCGTTAGGAGAAAATTGCTGTTGGACACTATTGGGACTTAAAGGGTTAACTTGTCTTACACCATTTTTCTTATTCAAAGGATAGTCATGAGCCCATAGGCTGCTGCTGGATGTTTACCACCATGCCATCCTGCAACAATTTTGGACAAACAGGATCGAAAAAATCTTACGTTGGATGTTGAAAGAGTGAGAGAATTCTCTTCCAAGAATTGACTTCAGGGATTCATTTGCTGGACAAAACTATCGGCGTTTGCAATACAGATGGGCTATCCAATAACTGCACCTCTCACAAGGTAATTTTTCTCAATTTATTGCAAGCATAAAAGACGTTATATACAACCTCTCTAATCTATGTGTGTATTGTCATGGTCTTCATGTATTCTCTCTGTATTAACTCCTTCTCGGGCCTGTTTGATTATTGAATCAAGATGAGCATTATTTTGTGCGCTTAGCGCTTAACTTCCTCTGAACTGTAGTTATTGGGAGATTTGGTAGGTCGTCGGATCCCGATTTTAAAAGGTCGGAATTGCAGTTCTTTCCAAATATCCTTACGAAATATTTCTTATATGTTCATTCAACATTTTCTACCCCCTGTTTTATTTAACTGCGTACACTCCATGGTTTACCAAAATTTAAATTCAAGGGGTACATGGAAAGGCTATGAACTTATTGACTGACTACTAGTGGGAGAGCCACATATTTTCCCGTCCGGCCCGACTATCTCAGTAAATAAGCATTTTATCATATGACCGTTTTGTTTTTGATTTTTTTTGACGAAGCGAACCCGCATCGATCAGGACGCTTTTCTAGCAGGGCCCTACTCGTTTTTCCGAGCCAATCACTTGAAGCGTACTGCCCTCAGACGACATTTTTTTTTCATATGATTTTCCAACGAAATTGCGCGCGGGGCCGTACGGGTCATATTATGACATTTCATACTAGCCTACATTTAGTCAGAGTGATTTTACTCGAAGCGTGAAATAAATACTAACAACTAGTGCAAAATAGCAAGAGATAAACGAAAGAAGGCAAGGGAATAAGTGCATAATAGTGCGTGGTATTCTACTACCTGTTTAAAGGTTTAAAAGGCTTGTTTATAGTGGAAGGTGCACTTAGCTTATTCAGCTAGTCTACAGGCGCTCCACTCAAATGCTTAGAAACAAATCATTCAAATACAACATAACACAGGAGTAAAAACCCCAACTGGCAGGAGGCAACCAGTTGGCCATGATTTACAAGCGTCACCGAGGATTTGAACTTGGGACGACCGAGAACAAATCCAGCAAGTGGCGAGAGTGGGACTCGAACCCGAGACCGCGGGATTGCGAGTCCAACGCGCTGACCACTCGGCCACGCTGCCTCCTTTCACGAGTTAAGTAAAATTACTCTATATGGTCTAGGTCATAACAGTAGTGTCTCAGTGCCTTGTGCATGAGTGCAAGTGTTAGCTCGTAAATTTAACCAGCCTCAATTAATTCCCGCATGTTTATACACAATGTTTCCACCAGGGTGCACAGTTTGTGTAAATGGTAAGCACCCGTTGTCTCCTGGAACATAAAATAGGCTGATTTAACAACAGAACGGGAACGTCAGTTGACGACGGCGCGCACAGATCAAACAACTGGCTTGACCAATGGGAGAGCGGCAAAGTGGGCACCGGAAGTCGTGTTTAGTCCTTTCCACGCGCTTTCCCGTCGTCAACTGACGTTCCCGTCCGGTTGCTAAATCAGCTTAATGATATTAGAGAGCTTTTAGATTTAAGGACGAGAACGAGTACGAGTACGAGATTTAACTTGAAGTTTTTGCGCCCGTTCTCCAAAAAAAAAAGACACCCCGGAGTTCTTCATTTTACTATTTTCACCAAAGAAGTTAGTACGGTTATTTATACCGAAGGAGGTTAAGCCCTCTCCCGATAGCAAAATGATTAAACTTCTTACATTTGAAAACTTGTTCCCGCCACTACGACATTCCCGCTAAAACTCGTAGTAGATTGATGACGCCTATCTCGTTTTCCCGCCAAAGTGACACTGGTTCACGCGTGAGCAATCCTTAGTACTGAGAAAATCTCGTACTCGTAGTCGTCATCGTCTCAGAATAGATAAAAGCACTCTATTTTTATACTTGTTACTTCCACGCTTAAGCCTTCATAACCTCTAGGGGCTTCGTAGGTGCGTCAATATGTTTTACTTGATTTTGGTTCTGATCAATCACACCCTGCTGAACGGAGGTGCTTGGTTCATCTCCAATCGTTTGCAAGCCGGTTACATCCGTCATGGTAGTCGCTGTTCCAATTACGTTTTCTTTGACTTGACTAGTACTAGACATCGGCTCGATTTCGTTAGCCCTAAACCGAAGCAATTTCTTGAAGGCTTGCTGGAACTGCGGGTTCATGATCCCGTATATAAAAGGGTTTGTAAGGCTGCTACCAAAGACGAAGAAGTAGGAAAATAAATGTACCCACCGTGGAGTGGACGATCCAAAAATCTCGATGAAGCCTACTACTGAGAGTGGGGTCCAGCATGTTAAGAAAACACAGACTACCACAAACGAAGTCTTGAGAACCTTTCTTTCGGTCTTCTCTCTTTTGCCACCCACGGCGTTCCTTCTTCCGTGACTCCATTCGGCAGCATGCCCCTGCATCCTCTCTGCGCTGGCTTTGACGGTTTTGTAGATGGTGTAATAACACCACGAAATGACGCTCGCGGTGGAGAAAATTGTCCCAGCACAAAGAAATACCATGAAAGAGACATCGGGTAGGTCCCAAATGCATGTGCAGACCGCGAAAAGTGGGTGGTAGGCAATCTTTCCCCAGCCGTAGAGCTGCGGAGAGGTGACAGCTAAAGCGCCGAGCCAGGCAGCTGCAATCACGAAGTATGTGACCTTCTTGGTTGAGAAGTACTTGGTATACAGATTGCGCCGCACAACGTTGAAGTACCGATTAAAGGCAATCCCGGTCATAGTGAAAAGTGATGTAATCCCAAACGTTAGCTGCGTCAAGCCAACCAGCTGACATAACACGTGATTAAATACCCAGCGTCCATAGCGGAGACTGATGACCCAGAAGGGCATGTGAAGGGACGCCATGCAGATGTCGGTGAAGGCAAGGTTCTGGATTAACATGTTGGTAATCGTGTTGAGTTTTGGGTCGAAATTAATCGCTGTGACGACAAGTACGTTTCCTGTCATAGGTTTAAGAAAATACTTCGAGTAAGACTGAGTTATGAAAGTACAGAATGTGCTTCAAGTCCTATAAGCGTACACTTCATTAAGTCCGCATTGCTTGTAAGAAGTTGTGGAAGAATGCTAGTGTGAAAAAGGGTATAGGCACAAGGTAGTTATAGACTGGGTTAATTGACTATAGGGAGCTCATTGTGGTCGGACAGCTAGTATTGGCCCCAAGACCCAGAATAGAGAGAGATCACTGTTTACATATAATGGTAATGAAGATGACTAGAGCTGGTCCTGAAGTAGTCCTGCTTGTAAAGAGTTCACTGCATACATGTAAGGCAGACAACAAAAGCTGATCCCGAGTGTACCCGCTCGTAGAGATTTCATTGTAAACGTGTATTACAGGCAGACAACAAAAGCTGATCCCGAGTGTACCCGCTCGTAGAGATTTCATTGTAAACGTGTATTACAGGCAGACAACAAAAGCTGATCCCGAGTGTACCCGCTCGTAGAGATTTCATTGTAAACATGTATTACAGGCAGACAACAAAAGCTGACCCCGAGCCCTGCTCATACAGAATTCCCTGTATACATGTAAGGTAGACAGCAAGAGCTGGGTCGGAGGGTGTTACTCCTTAAAGGAGCTGTGTCACGAAATTCAGCCAAATTAGGAAATTACAAAATGCCTGTTAAATTAAGGGAAACA